GATCATTAACAAATAACAGAGGACTATGATGAAGAGTAAAATGACAGGGTTGAAGCTCTGAGCAGACGGTGTCGGAAGGCGTGCCCACACAGAGAGTAGAAGATGGGAGGAGAGGGGTCCCGCCGCCTCAAGAGTCGCTGTGCTTGGGAAAGGATACGCCAACACCAAGAAACAACAGAGCAAATATCCCATCGTTCGGAGACTCGCCAACTTCGTGAAAAGACACGCACGGACAGCGAGAGACCGCTGAACAGGCATCCAGTCGGCAGAAGAAAAAACGTGATCATGCCCGAACTTGTTCGGTCTGCGGTGACTGCGGTCCGTAGGCATAGGGCCGTAATGTATGCAACCTATGCCGCTATGCAAAAGACGTTACTTTAGTAACATCTGGCGCCAGGCAGGGTCCACAACGCTTTAATTCGTGTCAATTGTTGATCTGTTTGTTTCATAACATTGAAAGAAAGCTCGGATGGCACTTTCCCATCCCCATTAACAGGTCCTTCTTCCCTTGCAGCTTGTCGACGTGCCCCTTGGCTCGGTTTCTCAACGCTGCCACACGCCGCTCTAGCAGTTCTTTCACCGCTGTCTTGATTCCTTGGAAGAAGCGCTCGGGATCCGCTGCCCTCCAGTCTCCTGCGCGCAAATCATCTTGTCCTTGCAAAGACTTCAGGGAGGCTGCCAAGTCGGAGACTAAGCATCATTTTCCCCTCTTTGGTGGTCACTTCCGCCAGGGAGTGACTAATTTTCTCGTCCTTGATGTCAACCTCGGGCAGGTCTAGTCGCAGACGGGCGTCAGCGGACCAGTTGTACTGGTGAGGTTGGGACGGCTCCAGCGGTTCATCTTTGTGCAGGATCACCAGTTTCTTGCCAGCGCTTGCGGCGATGTCTTCCTTGTTCCACTGGCCATTCTTCAGAGCATTCAGCAAGAAGTTGTAGAACTGCATGGCCTCCCGATGATAGATGAGCAGCAGCTTCAGGGATTCGAATTTACCAAGGCCGGCGCCCGCGCCGAGAACGAGGCAGAGGGAGTCGTGGAACTCGGCGGAGTCGAACAGCTGCCCGGCGTTCTTGAGCTCCGCAGCTATGCTCACACTTGCATAGTGCTCCGCGCTAACCAACACACCGTCACCGGCTCCCATCAGCTCAGCACTGTCCCCACAGCAACAGCAACAGGGCAGCTCGTCGTAGTCGTCGAAGAACGTCAGCAGCGTATCGATATCGCCTACGTCAGTGAGATACTGCTGCACTTCGTTCGCTCCGCCACGGCCATTGGTTGTGCGCTGGGTGGCCGAGTGTGTCGGTATAACTATCAGCTTGCCCGTGAAAAGCTTCTCATCGACCAGATTGCGATTTATCTCGCCATCTTTGATCAACGCTGACACATACGATCTCAGGCGTTGCATAGCGTGGACCAGCCGTTGCAGCGCCTGGCAAGGGTTGCTGGAGCAGACTGCAAACACATTGCTCACAGCTTTAGCCGGAAGCAGCAGAGCCACCTCAGCCTCAGTGAACGGGTCCTCGCCGAGAAGGTCCAAGCTGTGGGGGACGAAGAAGTTGTACTGTCGCAGTCCAATCTGCCGTGTTGAGAGCAGCAACCTGGCGTGGCGCAGGTCCTGTGGCTCACCCGTGAGGTCGTCGGTGCCACGGTCCACTTGAACCCTGGTATCAAGCGGCACAGTCGTACAGATCATTCCGCCATTGCACTTGTTGGCGATGGTCATTGCGCTACCTTCGGTGTCGCAGATAACCGTGGCCGAGTAGGTGATGTGCTTCGTCGCTTTCAGCTCATCTGCCAATGGACTGGCCTTGATCAAGTCCTGGATTGATTCGGAAAATTCCCTTGTGCTCCCCTCCTTCATCAAATCGGCTTCATGTAGTACGGTTGATGTCGCAAAGCACTGCCGATATACCGCCGATGAAGATGAGTGGTCTCCTAGATCATCTGCGGCAGCACCGCCATCTCCTGGCCCGTGCTCAATCTCGCTGCCGATCGGCTCGTTTTCCGCCACATCTGCCGCAGATTGCAGCAATGCTCAATCCGTATAATTATATCGTAGGTTGCTGTTGCTGCTGCTCATATTGCTGATCCTGTTGAGCCTGCTGCTGTTGTTGTTGCTGCTGTTGCTGCTGTTGCCGAATGGTGTCCAAGTGTTGAGGAGGCATAACCACCGACGGCATCTGGCGGTACGGTTGAGTGATGGCCACGGCCAGATGCCTGGTGCTTAGGTTCAGTGCACATTTGCTGCCGTACATTCCGTACATCGTCGTCAGGATCTTCATGTGTAACCCTGCATGTATATGTTACAATCATGCAGAGAGATTTCAATCAAAAGTTAGGGAAGTTCTTTCATTTAAATCCTGGTTTGCCAGTACACCTGAAGTGCGTACTACTGAGCTCTCATGCAGCTTTCCTCTACTGCATGATAGTAATCACTGTAACATGAGTACTAGTATGCGTGCAGCGACAGCAGATGAGGATTGTCTATCTTACCCTGTACTTGCTATGAGGATTGTCATCTTGCCCTGTACTTGCTAGCCATATCTAGGCCTGAATGTGAGCAAACGGCTCAACACCCAGCGAGGAATGTGCCACTGGGAGACCATCTTGATCAGGTGGACCAGCAAGGAAACTAAACGAGATGGATAGATAGATAGATAGATAGTTAGCCCCATCCCTCACACAAACAAGTCAACAAAGAGGCATCTTTGGATTGAGGAGTGCTGGTTTCGAAACAACTGGTTTGAAGCTCAAAGTAGAGCTGGTGTTAGCTCAGAGCAGAGCTGCTGTTAGCTCGAAGTAGAGCTGCTGTTAGCTCAAAGTAGAGCTGCGGTTAGCTCAAAGTAGAGCTGCGGTTAGCTCAAAGTAGAGCTGCTGTTAGCTCAAAGTAGAGCTGCGATTAGCTCAAAGTAGAGCTGCGATTAGCTCAAAGTAGAGCTGCTGTTAGCTCAAAGTAGAGCTGCTGTTAGCTCAAAGTAGAGCTGCTGTTAGCTCAAGGTAGAGCTGCTGTTAGCTCAAAGTAGAGCTGCTGTTAGCTCAAAGTAGAGCTGCGGTTAGCTCAAAGTAGAGCTGCTGTTAGCTCAAAGTAGAGCTGCTGTTAGCTCAAAGTAGAGCTGCTGTTAGCTCAAAGTAGAGCTGCTGTTAGCTCAAAGTAGAGCTGCTGTTAGCTCAACGTAGAGCTGCAATGCTAAATGGATGTAATATAGAGCAAGGCAGAGCCGCAGCAAATAGCTAGATAACACCAGTTGTGAGAGTGGACCCGGTTAGTCGGTACGATAATATTATGATGGTGTGAATAAGTTGGATAGGGAGGGATGGTGGGAAAAGAAACACTGCTGAAGCACGATCCGTTGTCTGGAAGAGCACAACAGGGCAAGCAAGATTTGTTTTTCTTTTCCGTAAAAATGGGCTGGTGCCATTTGTGATTACGCAGCAAAACAAAGCGCATGACGTCAGTCTTGAATGCAGTACAAAGCAATGCAGTGCAGTGTGTGCGCTAGTTCGGATTGTTGCTAACAAGTACTAGCACAGCTAGTACACCATTAGCCCCATCCCTCACACAAACAAGTCAACAAAGAGGCATCTTTGGATTGAGGAGTGCTGGTTTCGAAACAACTGGTTTGAAGCTCAAAGTAGAGCTGGTGTTAGCTCAGAGCAGAGCTGCTGTTAGCTCGAAGTAGAGCTGCTGTTAGCTCAAAGTAGAGCTGCGGTTAGCTCAAAGTAGAGCTGCGGTTAGCTCAAAGTAGAGCTGCTGTTAGCTCAAAGTAGAGCTGCGATTAGCTCAAAGTAGAGCTGCGATTAGCTCAAAGTAGAGCTGCTGTTAGCTCAAAGTAGAGCTGCTGTTAGCTCAAAGTAGAGCTGCTGTTAGCTCAAGGTAGAGCTGCTGTTAGCTCAAAGTAGAGCTGCTGTTAGCTCAAAGTAGAGCTGCTGTTAGCTCAAAGTAGAGCTGCTGTTAGCTCAAAGTAGAGCTGCTGTTAGCTCAAAGTAGAGCTGCGGTTAGCTCAAAGTAGAGCTGCTGTTAGCTCAAAGTAGAGCTGCTGTTAGCTCAAAGTAGAGCTGCTGTTAGCTCAAAGTAGAGCTGCTGTTAGCTCAAAGTAGAGCTGCTGTTAGCTCAAAGTAGAGCTGCTGTTAGCTCAACGTAGAGCTGCAATGCTAAATGGATGTAATATAGCGCAAGGCAGAGCCGCAGCAAATAGCTAGATAACACCAGTTGTGAGAGTGGACCCATGAAACCAGCACTCCGTTAGCTAAGCACTATTGACGCACAGCAAGGGTCAATTAATGTCAGCACAGGCAAGCATTGCGCAGCTAGAGTTCAGTAGCTCATTACTCACCCGAGTTGGGGATCATGGCATCCATGGCACGGCAGCAAGCCGGGACGATAGCTGGCGCTATGCGCTTGTTGTAGTCTGGATGTAGCATAGACACGCATCGCTCTTTCCACTGACCTGCCACTCGGAAGAAGGAGTCGGGGGCACTAGCCATAGCAGCGGTGGTGGCTACACCAATGTGGACCGAATGCCCGGAGTAGTTCGACTGGGATGGTACACCGGCCGCAGCGACAAGAGACCATACTGTTACTGTGAATGACTGCCTGGTCAGCTGCTGTCTGTTCGAGAGTACGAACAAGAGTTGCTCCGGTCCCTCGCGACGAGTGACAAATGGGTAGCTAACAATGGCACGGACCGGGCAGTACGGCGGTACAGACGGGCCAATGTCACTAGTAACGCCTTTACCGAATGGGTCCGTCTTGGATGAAAGCAGGAAGAGTTGCAGGCGTCCGTCACCAGGGGAGCTAGTACAGCCCCGTGTGATGCCATTAGTGAATTCAGCGCACCGAAGAAATCCAAAGAAGCAGCATGGCGGCTTGGTAGAGCAGCTTGTCATGGCCATTCAGGACACTACTTTTCCGGCGTGCATCCGTCAGGTGTCGTAGGATTGGCATAGTTATAGGAAGGCGAGGGGTGAGTGCAGCCGTACCATGGCATAGCTGGATGCCCTTTGTTATAGATTGATCTATTATTAATATTAGTCGTACGATCTACGATCTACGTTCTGCTACGTGTGTCGTTCTACGCTCCTTTGATGCATGCATGACGAAGAGTGACAATGTCTTACCTCATTATGAATCAGTCTTCTTCTGCATTACGTCTGCATGGCTGACGTGTGTCTTACTTTGGTACGAGCTGACGAGGCCTATACTGTCGTGTCATAGCGCCATTAGTGCAACGACAGCACTTACGTGTCTCTGCTGCTTATCTCTCGATGATTGCCATTTTACATGTTCACTTCTAAATTATCCTAGAACAAACCAGATGGTGTTTCCTGCTGTGGTATACGCGAGTTGCATGGAATGAATCTTGCGTGCGTACGTTATAACAATTGGCGACGAAGATGAGCGTTTGTAGTAACCTGAGCACAGCCCACAAGCTTCCAGTTTTCGAATACCGGGGCACGCCAGCAGAAGTGTCCTCTCGCTGGAAGAAATGGCTACGAAGCTTTACGTACATGGCTGAAGGCCAAGGGATTACGGATCACAAACGGCTGAAAAATTTATTGCTGCATACTGCCGGAACACAGGTTCAGGACTTATTCGAAGACCTCGAAGATCCACAGGCGTCGGCTCTGCCTGCGGATGACAACGAGTACAAGGTTACGTTACGGAAACTGAACGAACATTTCAAGGCCGCGCCACATCCTGTATACGAGCGTCACGTGCTGCGCCAGATGACCTTTGCTAAGAATGAGTCGGTGAGTCAGTTTGTTGTAAGATTACGCGTCCAGGCCCGCTTGTGTGATTTTGGTACCGCTTGTGACGACATGATTCGAGACCATGTGGTGTCATGCATTGCGAATGTCGAGTTGAAAAAGAAGTTGTTATCAGATCCAAAACTAACTTTGGGTACGTGTCTAGAAATTGCAGCTTTGTTTGAGGCAACCCAGCAACAAGCTTCGTCTATGGGTTCCGCTGCTGCTATGAGTACGCCATCAGAAGTCCACGGTCTCTCTCGTAAGCACTCGGTGTCGCAGAAACAACAGAAACAACATTTCAAGTCGTCAGGTAAAACGGATCGTGCACGTAAACCTGAGAGAGTGTCTGTTTCTGCTTCTACTTCCTCTGAGCGTCTCTGTTTTAGGTGTGGCAAGGCTGGTCATTTCGGTCGGGATCCGAGTTGCCCGGCGCGTGGCAAAACCTGCAGCAAGTGTCAGCGTCGTGGGCATTTCGCTTCCTGCTGCAATTCGCAGTCGACGTCCCACATTTCGTCCGAGCCAGAGTCACTGTTCGACTCTTTCAGCATTGGGGCTCTCACCGACGATGTGTCACCTACAGATAAGTGTCAACCTAAGTCTAAGTCTCATCCTCCCATGATGATTGATGTATGCGTTAATGATGTAGTCTGTCCTATGGAAGTCGACACTGGTGCTGAAGTTTCAGTATTCCCTAGTTCTGTGTGGAAGGAGCAGTTTTCCAATGTGTGTCTGCATAAGTCTCGTGCATCACTGCATTCGTATGGTGGTAGTTCCCTATCTGTATTGGGTGAATGCATTGTCGATGTCCGTTACGAGTCTCACCAGTTTCGAGACACCATCATTGTTGTAGAGGGTAGTGGTCAGCCCCTGTTTGGTCGGAACTGGATGTCCCACGTCATTATAGACTGGTCAAATTTTCGTAATGCACAGGTCAATGCATTGTCGCTAGATAGTCTATTGCGTCAGTTCCCTACCGTATTTCAAGAGGGTTTGGGTACCATTAAGGGTCAGTCTGCCAAGATCCAGCTTCAAGGGTCACCCACCCCCAAGAGTTGCCGTTCCCGTCCTGTCCCGTACGCCGTCCGCACTAAGGTTGAAGCTGAGTTGTTGCGTCTAGAGGGGGAGGGGATCATCAAGCCGGTCTCTAACGCTGATTGGGCATCCCCCGTGGTGGTTGTAAAAAAGAAAAACAACACCATCCGCTTATGTGCAGATTTTAAAGTGTCCATCAACAAGCACATTGAAGCTAACCAACATCCCATTCCCAACCCGAGTGATTTGTTATCGCAATTATCTGGTGGATCTGTATTTTCCAAATTAGATCTCAGCCAAGCTTATGCTCAGCTACCGCTCGACGACGACAGTAGGCGCTATTGTGTCATCGCTACGCACAAGGGTTTGTACGAATTCACGAGACTACCCTTCGGCGTCAGCTCAGCTCCGTCAATCTGGCAGAAGGCCATCGAGCAGGTGCTACAAGGTCTAGAAGGTGTCGTTGTCTATTTCGACGATATTCTCATTTGTGGTAACACCCAGCAACAACACGACGAGCGTCTACGAGCAGTCCTCCGTCGTTTCGCTGAGACAGGGCTGCGGTTGCGTCGTGAGAAATGTGAGATTGGTAAGCCACAAGTTAGTTACCTTGGGTTTACATTGTCGAAGGCTGGTCTACAGCCCAGTCGGGATAAGGTTTTGAGTATTCAGAATGCCCCGAGGCCCCATGATGTGTCTACCTTGCGTTCGTTTCTGGGGCTCGTGAATTTCTTTGGGCGGTTTATCCCCAATTGCTCCTCGCTGTTACAACCCCTGAACGAGTTGTTAAAGAAGGATGTAGTCTTTAATTGGACGGATGCATGTCAGTCGGCGTTTGCCAAAGTTAAAGAGTTTCTCATCGCCGATCCAGTTATGGCCCATTATGATGTTACCTTACCACTGATCTTAGAGTGTGATGCATCCCCTGCTGGTATTGGTGCTGCTCTTCTACATGTCATGCCGGACCAGTCTGTTCGGCCAGTTGTATATGTGTCACGTGCTTTGTCCAAAGCAGAGAGTCATTACAGCCAGATTGAGCGAGAGGCGTTAGCTATCGTGTTTGCTGTTCGTCGTTTACACCAGTACATCTACGGTCGTAAGTTCATTCTGCGCACCGACCATAAGCCTCTAATCAAGATCTTCGGCGAGCACGAGTCGTTAAGTAAGACGTCGGCATCCCGTCTACAGCGCTGGGCCGTGATTCTCGCTGAGTACGACTACGTCATTGAGCATATTCCAGGTAAAGAAAATGTGCTAGCAGATTGTCTGTCTCGTCTGCCTTTACCATTGTCTGCTGCTGAAATGTCTGCAATTGTTAGTGCAGTCAGCAGTCATGCATTTGACCCCTGCGAGTTAATGCCTCTACAGAGTTCGGATGTTGCCAAGGCTAGCAAATACGATTCTGACATTTCGTTAGTAATGTCCTACACGCTGCATGGTTGGCCTGCTACAGTTCCCGACAGGTTAGTGCCGTATAGCCGCATCCGGAATGACCTAAGTATTGAGCATGGTTGTTTGCTGTGGGGTTCCCGCGTCATTATTCCAGTTCAGTTTAGACGCCACTTATTAGAGGAACTGCATTCTTCACATGCCGGTGTGTCCCGAATGAAGAGTGTGGCACGAAGCATTTTCTGGTGGCCAGGCTTAGATGCCGATATCGAACGATTAGCCGCCGATTGCAGTCTTTGTCAGGAAAGCTCTAATCTGCCCCGCAAGGACTCTGTCCACCATTGGGCATACCCCAATGCTGCTTTTGAGCGTGTGCATCTTGATTTTGCTGAGTTCGAGTCGCAACAGTTTCTGGTCATAGTTGATGCATTCTCTAAGTGGATTGATGTATACGAGCTTGGTTCCTCCGCTACGACTACTAAAACAGTGAACTGTTTGCTACGGTTCATCAGTACATTTGGTATTCCTAGAGTACTAGTATCTGATAACGGCCCACAATTTGCCTCTGGCGAGTTTGCTGCTTTCTGTGCCCAGAATGGTATTAAGCATCATCGTACACCGCCCTATCATCCCGCCAGCAACGGACAGTGTGAGCGGATGGTGCAAGAGCTGAAGAAGGCTTTGCGAGCAAGGCCTCACCATGTGTCTGTATGTGTGCAAGTGTCTCGCTTTCTTTTCGATTACAGAAACACACCGCACAGCGCTACCAAGCAGAGTCCCGCGAGTATTCTATTGAAGAAAGCCCCGACCACGCGTTTGGCGCTGCTGCAACCCAGTTTCGCCACGGCTATGCAGCAGGCCCATGAACTCGATAGTACTGCGTCTCGTGAGTTCACAGTGAATGCACCAGTGTGGGTGTACAATGCTCGTCCTGGCTCTAAGCCGAAGTGGCTAGAAGGTTTAATATGCAAACGACTCAGTACGATGACCTATTCTGTGATGGTAGGAGGAGTCGTCCGAAAAGTGCACATCGATCATTTGAAGTCCAGAACAGCTGAGTCTGCTGGTTTATCGGCCGAGTCCGACGCCATTCCGACAGTGTCTACGCCGAGTGTTACTCCGACAGTCGCTACAGCAACGCCGACTCCTGAGTTACCAGCTTCACCGCCGGCTCAGTCGTCTCCTGTCATTGATACAGCAGCTACTACTATGCCTAGTACGCCTACTACTGCTACATCTAGTACGCCTACTACTGCTACGCCTAGTATGTCTACTACTGCTGCTACTCCTGTTAGTATGCCTGATACAGTTCAAGTCGCTACTCCTGTTAGTATGCCTGATGTGTCAGTGCCTGTTTCGTCAACTCCAGTGTCACCGCGCTATCCGTCAAGAATGCGCCGTGCCCCTGATCGCTTAAATTTGTGAGTATTGAGTGACTATCTTAGCATTAGTCATGAATGACTCGCCTAGCAATTCTGACATTGCCTTAGAGTGTCCTATTCCGCTATTTGTCTGTAATAGCATAGTATTGTATCATAGTTAGTCGGATATAAGGATTTGCTCTTGTATATAGTTGTTTGGATGCATTTTGATTATATATGCATTATTGCTAGTCCCACTTCACTACTTCTTTAAGGAAGGAGGATTGTTATAGATTGATCTATTATTAATATTAGTCGTACGATCTACGATCTACGTTCTGCTACGTGTGTCGTTCTACGCTCCTTTGATGCATGCATGACGAAGAGTGACAATGTCTTACCTCATTATGAATCAGTCTTCTTCTGCATTACGTCTGCATGGCTGACGTGTGTCTTACTTTGGTACGAGCTGACGAGGCCTATACTGTCGTGTCATAGCGCCATTAGTGCCACGACAGCACTTACGTGTCTCTGCTGCTTATCTCTCGATGATTGCCATTTTACATGTTCACTTCTAAATTATCCTAGAACAAACCAGATGGTGTTTCCTGCTGTGGTATACGCGAGTTGCATGGAATGAATCTTGCGTGCGTACGTTATAACACCCTTCAACACCCTCTTCAGAAGCCACGCATCTACTAAGGGGCCGGCAAACCCATTCTTCAGGTGGGCTTTATGCACCGCACTCGCATACACAGATACAGTTCAGGGCACGCTGATCATAGTTCACGCATGAATGTGTGTCCAGGAACGATGACTCGGGCAGCAAAAGTGAGCTTCCCCAGGAGGGACTCGAGTTGACGCTGGCCGATGCTGCGCTCGCTGATAGTAGCCATGAGTGGCGCACGGATCTCGGACAGCTTGTCCTCTGGTAGCCGAGCTTCGTGGCGCTCGCAGTCTAGGACAATACCAAGGAAGGTCAATGATGGTGATGGCCCTTTGAGCTGGGATGGAGCAAAGAGGAGTGCCGAGATACGTGAACGCCCGGAGGGGGATGGTGAGTTGCTGGTTGGCTGCAGCCAAACCAGTGGAGATATCGAGAAAGTCATCGAGGTAGTGAAGCCGGTGATCTATAGCAAACTCGTGCTGCATGATCCAGTTGACTGCTGTGGCTACTGAGTCAAAGACGGCTGGGCTGGAGCGGAGGCCGAAAGGCAGAAAGCGCTCGTAGTAGTAGGAGCCTTCCCAGCGAAGTCCTGACGACGGACTGGGATCTGCCGAAATGCACTGCGTACATCGAGCTTGGACAAATGCACAGGCTGTGGGCATGACATGATGATGTTGATCGCGTTGTCAATGCTCGCGTAGTGCAGAGAGAGCGGCTCGGCAGGAATGCTGTCGTTCGCGCCGGTGCCTTCCGGACTAGACAGATGGTGGATCATTCGCGGCTTTCCGTTCTTTTTTGGGGATGGCACCAATACCAGAGCGGCGCATGAACTGAAATGGAGGTGACGGAAATGGGCCTGTGGTCTCGCTGCGGGCGCAGGAGCTAATTGCTCGGATATAAATGCCGAGTGAGTGAAAGCCAATGGTAGATTATTAGAGAAAACCGAAATGTCGTGTTGGCCGGCAGATCCAAGAGTAAAGCCACGGCGCAGGCCATGGAGAACATACGCAACACATGATTGATCTGAGTGGTTACGTAACAGGCGGGCAAAGTGGTCAGCTAGCAGTGTGGTGTCTGCAGAGTGTATAGGAAAGAAGCTACGTACCGAGTCAAGCGATTCAGTAGCCAATCTGCTAGGAGCGGCGGGGTGGCCGATTGGCTCCGCGCTGCTGCTGGTTGCACATGATGCATGGGTGGTCCTTGCCACACTGGCTGCAGGTGTGGGAGAAGCGGCACGACGACGAAGAACAGCGACCTCCATTGAAGTTGCGGCAGATTTCTTGGCCGTCGCTGGTATGGTTGCGACCACTGGAGGTAAATGCTGCTGGCTTCGGGACGAAAAGGACACAAACCGCCCCTGGATGGACCGTCTTACATTGAGCGCATTTTGGGTGTGCATGGCCTGTGACGGCTATCTGCCATAGGTTCACGTCGATGGTGTCCAACCTCTTCGTGCCTGGTTACTGGGCCACGAGCATCCGCAGCTGGCGGTCGTACTCTAGCCACGCGCTTGGGAAGAACTGGCAGTTAGCAGTCAGGATCAACTGCTGGTACGCAATCAGTTCAGCAGTGCGGTGTAGGGCAGCAGCCGTGATAACAGACATGTATGTGGTCCATGCCTCGAGCCGGGTAGCTACATGTGTAATTATCGTGAACCTTGCGACGCACCTGCTTCGCGTCATCCGACTCAACGATATTTAGCTGGCTATCGTTATTCGGGCTGTGCACCAGCCGGAATGTTGGGCCGGAAGTGTGCAAGAATTTCAGGCAACAAACTTGAAAATCTACGAACTCCCCTCGCAAGATACGTTCTTGCACAGCCTTGGGCACAGCTGGTGCAGGTGGCTGATCGGGTGGGTTACAGGAGCTTGGCCTGGCGTAGTGGCAGCAGCTGCCGCATTGCCTTGGCCTTGGGTGAGGAGCGGCACAATGCTCTCCGATAATGATAAAATGGCGGCCGACAAAGCCGACTACACCTCGTCCCGTACAGGAGCGCAGAGATCCTTTGATGAGCCCGCGTCACCTGAGCTGGCGGAGGAGGCATTGGTGCACGTCGGGCTTCTGGGCTCGCGAGCCGTGTCCGCACTGTCATGTTGCTGGTTCTCCTGGCCGGAGCAGACCTCACTACCAAGGGCTAGTTGTGCCAGCAAACGGTCCTGTAAAATACTTTTACTAAGTTTCCTTTCGGATTCAAGCCGCGCTGAGAAGGCTCGCCGCGGAGGGCTTGGCAAGGCATTGCCTTGACAGTGTCGACAGTAAGGTCAGACATACTGAAGAAATACAGTGTCGAGGTGACACTCGGGCTGGCAGCAAAGCTACGAAAGGAAAAGAAACACTGCTGAAGCACGATCCGTTGTCTGGAAGAGCACAACAGGGCAAGCAAGATTTGTTTTCTTTTCCGTAAAAATGGGCTGGTGCCATTTGTGATTACGCAGCAAAACAAAGCGCATGACGTCAGTCTTGAATGCAGTACAAAGCAATGCAGTGCAGTGTGTGCGCTAGTTCGGATTGTTGCTAACAAGTACTAGCACAGCTAGTACACCAATAGAGAGAGAGAGAGAGAGAGAGAGAGATATATAGAGAGAGAGAGAGAGAGAGAGAGAGAGAGAGAGAGAGAGAGAGAGAGAGAGAGAGAGAGAGAGAGAGAGAGAGAGAGAGAGAGAGGGAGGGAGAGATTGAAAGGGATAGCACGGTTACTGCTGAGAGGCCTGGCCAGTACCTGTGCACATACGGGCGCAAATCAGCACTAATACCGTATTTTCCCGGTTATAGGTCGACCCCCGTATCCGGAGGTCTCAATTCTGCGTTTTAAATTTTTCACCCAAAGAAGCGCTACTAACCACCTCCTGCTACTAACACATCAACAAAATCATGTAAATATTCCTTATTGGAGGGTATAACATCCCAATCCTTGAAAAAAAATGCCAATAAACTGGCAACAATGTGTACACATGGTGCACTTGTGCATGCAGTGCAGCCCATTTTTTGTAAGATACTAATAGCTCCCGGTTATAAGTCGAATCCCGGTTGTAAGTCGACCCGCACCCTTTCTCCGGCTATTCTAAGTCGTAAAAGGTCGACTTACGACCGGAAATACGGTATACAAACATAGTGGACATGCACACGTCCAACCTCTATAACATACTCTTTGTCTTCACTGTCACATTCTACATACTGTCCATTTGTAATTATAGGTCAGTGCATGGCAGGGAGGGCCTTATGGCTTGTTAGAGCCCGACAGGTTAGCCTGAGGGTCGTAGGCCCGAGGGCTAACCTGGAGGGCACAAACAAGCCATAAGGCCCTCCCTGCCATGCACTAACTATTTTAGAACGAGGCTACATGCATTATCTCATTTGTATTATGCTTGTGTACCCTTCTATTGGGTAGTTTTGTGGTTTGTATGCAGAGAGAATTGGTGTGGTATGAACTCAACACCACTGAGGACTACTAAAAGTAGAATAGACGCAAATGAAATCCGGGGCTCTTTATGCAAGCTTCATTCTCAATAGCTTCTGGAGCTATTTAGGGGCTTCGAGAGCCACTTTTCATCTTCGGTTTTTATAGGGTTCCGCCAGCTGTTGACTACAGATTACCGTAAACGAGTAGGGGAGACAAAAACCAAACACGCTTGTGAAATGCGTGGCTTTTAGTAGTACACCGTACATTTTATGCAGAGTTCATTATCTGCACCGTACCATGATGCGTACAGGAAGTTGTACGCACATGTTTAGAGTATATTCAGCGGGCTTTAAACCAAGAGTACATAACCCCCCAGAGTGTGCAACTCCACTATGGGTGCTGTCCCGACAGAATTTCAAGTTGACGTCATTTTGATGATGCAATGCGCACTGTACACGGATTATCAGACGAATCCGGAACCTGTGGTTGACCGAAGCCAATCGATCCTGTACAAATTATTGCAAAGAAGAACGTGTGATGCGTTGACACCCGTACACATGTTGTAAATCACTGCTGCAAGGAGCATTGCGTCATAAAGAATGACGTCAACTTGAAATTCTGTCGGGACAACAGGGTATGTGGGAGTTGCACACTCTGGGGGGTTATGTACTCTTGGTTAAACTAATCCAAGGCCCTCGACGCGTCATCAAGAGTAGTAAAATTACGATTGAGCGGGCTTTAAATTCTAATAAGGCCCTTGGCGGGAATGTCGCTGATTGGTCGTTTCCTGGACAATGAGACAGGCCTCATTCTAATACTGTGTACATGTAAGTACAAAGTTTCGTTTTGAAATTACCTTTCGTTATATTTGGCAGCGGGCACGAAATATCTAAAGTTTGCACCAAACTAAAGTTTTTTTCTGAATGTTCAGGGCAACAGACCTCAACCAAAAACAAAAACGAGTACGTAACGAACCTGCTGGTGGAGTGATCTAACAAAAAGTTGTACTTGTACAGTTGGAGTGCGCATCCAAGATGTGCTAGAGCTGTTAGCCAGTTAGTTGTAGAACGTCAGTACCGTCGGTCAGTGTCGTGCAATGTTATCGCATGAGCTGATTGTTTAGTAACTGGTGGTGTTAGTGGACATTATAGTGTAACTTGTAGTTTACACCTTCCATGTTGTTTTTCGTATGTTAGTGCGGGTTACTTCATTTTCTTCTGCTCCCCTAACCAGCAGAAGTCACGTATGAATTCTGATGAATTCTGATGAATGAATTTCAATTTCATTCTTGCGTAAGTACAAGCACGTTTATCTTCTATCTCAACCCTTCACGCCGGCTTTCTATTGCGATTCTGCACCCATCACGAACATTTCCAGATCACAAAATGTGTGATTCCGTGATGCCCGCCCGGATTGCTGTATCTGTCATAACAAATCGACTAGTGTCTGTTGGATATGGGCGTTTGGTGGCATTTCAATCGGCTCAAGCCCAGCACGTTTCGTTCTCCGTGTGTACTGCAGGCTGAC